TATCTGGTATCACTTGCTTACGTTGAGAGGGAGACCAGTTCCCCACAGGTGCCGCTGAAATCCTGGACCGTAAGAGATGCTCATTGCCACTGCTCTCGCCTCTGAATGGCGCACCGGCCCTGGCAGTCTCACCTGGCCTTGTCACTCTACATTCGTCACAATAAACAAATCTGGTTAACGCAGTTCACTGGAAGATATTTATTGACTTAAGGTATTATTTTACTCTGCAGTATTCTACTAACATTTCAATATGCACGTTACAAAGTGCTTTTAAAAAAATAAATTAAAAGTTTAGTTACAGGCCAATTCTATTCAAGTGTATTACAGCAGTTTTAAAAAAGGCAACTGAAAATATACAAGGTAAGTACAATGCATTTTCTGGTGTTGTTTACATGATTAAAAACTTTTAAATATCTTGCAGCTCATTAAAATTAAATGTCATATTCTTTCATGAATAGAGACTTAAAATGCATGTGTGTGATTAAGTCAGAAACCCTTAATAATCACAATTACTGGCAATCAGAGCAATACAGACAACGTTAAATAGCAACTTAATTTGTCATTAACATACGGGCAACATCAGACATTCATTTTTCTCAGGAAAATACAACTTTTCAGAAATGTAAGTGGTCTCAAAATCCTAATTAGCAACAGATGCTACTATGCTGATTTTTAGCACTGTACATGTTGAGATTATACATGCCTATAGGCATACAGCCCAGTTCTGTATGGCCCATGTCAAGGACAGTCAAATTCAAGCAGGCTTTCAGGTTTAAAATAATCCATATTCATTTTCTTCATGAATCATATGGTAGTCATATGGTATTCTTTAATTCAATATTTTTAAACTACAGGATCCTGATAATAATCCAAATATCATCTATGAAATTTCCTTTGCTATAATCTTTACTGCTTTACTATTAGAAGCTCCACAAATAACCTTTAACAGAAACATTCAGCCTTGAGTTTTTTAAAATTATAACAATTTTTAAAACTGAAAAAATGAAAACTGAAAAAACTTTGTGAAAGTAATAGTTTAATAGTGAATTAATTAATTTAATTAATAGTGAAAGTATTAATTAACGGCACTTAGTTGTATGGTTTTCAGTACAGAAACATTCCAATTAAATTAATATCATTTATTAAAAAATACCCACATTTTCATAATTTACTTCCAGAATACAAACAATACCTTGACAAGAAAGACCCAATAGCATACCTGCCTAATTCATCCTAAAAGGGAGATTTAAATATGTTAAAGCTTTGAGCTCACTTAAACATTTATTTATATAGGGATAAGAACATACATTATTCTAGCCAGGATATTTTTATGATGGTACAATCTTGGAAACAATATTTAGAAAAGTTTCAATGGTCAGAAGCTTTGAGAGATCATGTGTCATGAGCTAACACATAGGTAAAAATGTTAAACCCAGGAATGCTTGAGTTTATCGGTCTTTAGAAGCAGCAGAACGGAGAAGGATAGTAATGGTGACTGCTCATTTTCCTTCACTCTGGATTACCTTGAAGAGAACAGTGTCATCATTCAAAATATATAAAAGATTGACAAAAAGTTCTCAAGTACAGTGTCGGTGCTCTGAAAAGGTCATATTTCATAGATTTTTCTGGGTGAGGTTGTGTCTTTAAAATGACCATACTGTAGAACAATTTGAGCATCAAGTATTACAGTTTTTTTAAGAGCATCTTGCAAAAGTATTTACCCTTGCTAATAATGTCCCAATTAGTTGGATTACAAACCTTTTACACTTTTTTAATCAAAACTTGAATTCTCAAACTGAATACGTATTCAGTATGGGTGAACGTTAAATGACATCAAGAAATGAAAAGATAAATCCAAAATGAAAATGTTGCCCATGTATTCACCCCATTTGCTAAAGCGTACCTAAATTCACAGAATTACTTCGAGAAAACACTTTTATTACTTGGATGGCTTTCATCTCTGACTCATGTTATTTCATAATTATTATACCAGCCCCTGTAAGGTCCCACAAATTAGGTAATGACTTGCAAAGATTCAATCCCAAAAAAAAAGCTTGGGGTTAAAAGTCGCAGAAAGGCACAGATCAGGAGAAGTGTATACACATTTTCAAAGACAATGAATGTGCCTTCGGACATGGTAGTGTCAATCATTAATACGTAGTAACTTGGTGGTAAGATGTGTCATCAACTTTAGTCAGGCTGTCCCTCCAAACTGAACAGCTGGGTAAACAGGAAGCTGGTTGCACTACAGAGTTTGGTGGGACAAAATGTGCACGAGTCAATAACATCACATAGCTAGACTCCATCTCAAATCCCATGTGCGGTTTGCAATAAAGCATTTAGGTAACACTGCTATTATGTGATAAAGGTTTTTATGGTCAGTAAAGGTGAAATTGGTCTTACATCCACACCAGACTCAGTATAGCACATCAATACTGTCCTTACTGTTAAACATACTGGCGGCAGCATTATGTTATGGGACTACCTCTTATTTGCAGGGCTTGGGAATTTTGTCAAGACTAAAGGGAATAAAGATGGAACATCTTAGAGTAAAACCTGCTTAAGTGTGCTAATGGAAAGAAAGTTAATTTTGCAGCTGGACAATTACACAAAGCTATATTAGAATGGTTAACAAGAAAAAAGTGAATGTCACTTAGTGTCACAGTCACAATCCGGACTTGAGTTCAATAGAAAATGTATATCTACTGTAGGCTTGAAATCCACTGTTAATCATTGACTCTCAAGTCTGCAAAGAAGAATGGGTGAAAACTGCACCATCCCTGTGTGCAAAATTGGCAGACATACTGTATCCGAAAGGATTTGCAGCTGTTATTGCTGCCAAAGGTGCTTCCACAAATATTAACCAATGGGAGAAATACTTATGCATTCAATATATTATAGTTTTTGATTTTTCTTTGCATTTTTCTGTTTACATTTAACTTCTTTCACCTAATTATTCAGTTTGAGTTTTGATTAAAAATATTCACTTTAATGATGTGAATACATCATCTATAACTGAACAAAACAGACTTCCACATGGACACTGCAAATGTGATTATAAAATTCTGAAAGCTTCTAATTATAATCATTCTCATCACTGTATATATTCTGATCTTATGCAAATACAATGAATGAAATAAGCCAGTTTATTTTCCATGTGAACTATTCATGCAGTGATGGATTGTCAAAGATAGCACACTCAGTTTTGCAACACTAGTACAAATGTGCATGTGGCAGGAAACAACGTTTAGAGACACTGCAGAGAAGATTCATATTCATTCTGGAATGATGATTAAAATATTTTGAGACTGGGGTACTGTAAAACATTTATGAAAAGGGAAGATCATTTAAAATGTTCAGAGGAGTCAGTTCACTCTTCAGGAACAACAATGGATATGGATACTGAAGTGAATTCATTTCTTCCAGGATGTTTGTCCCAGAGTGTGACATTTACAGTACAAACATTCTGGATACGTTTGCTTATACATTACATTCTTTTGTTTTAAACCTAATACTACAGAAATTAAAATGGTCTAATTATCTGAGGTAGGCAACTATTCATTGACATATTTCAACCAATTACTATCAAGCAAGATTTGTTAAGATGCAATATTATGAAATCAACACAGGGAAATGATCACCTCTGGGTATTACTTTGAAATGTAATGTTAGGGTGTTAAATTGATGTTTACAATAAGAAGCATTATTCTTGATCAGAAAAAAGGCCATATTTCCCATTTAGCAAGTAAATATTCTTAAATGGAGCGTACAAATCTGCCCTTTTTTTCTCAAAATATTTACAGTTTATATAACAAGTTGAACAAATAATGTGAACAAAAGATACAGTAACACACGTTTTAGCTATAGCAGTATTTTTAGTGGCAAGGCAAAAATGGAGACTCTCACCATCTACTTGTCGCATGTGGGGAAAAAAGACTGAAACAGCAAGTTAAATAATTGCAGGGTCAAGCATTGAGCAGTTCATGCTCTTTATCCGTTTTTCCAACGGCGTCTGGGTTGGATAACGGATCCAAATCAGCAAACAAGTTGAACCAAGCCGACAGGTCCTTAGCTGGCTGTGGGGTGTCTATAAACAGAGAAGGAAGGAAAGGGTGGTTTTTACATTACAGTACATCGATTACAGAACCTACAGCTGTTAATTCCAGGATGAAAATACTCAGAAGGTGCCATAGTGAAGTAGACAGGCAGTGCAGCAGTGCCCCCCTGAAGGACTCAGGTACAGTTCTGGTGTTCATACTTGTCCATACAAGGAGAGGAGCCGAAAACAGGCCCATAAGTTTCTCTTGGGCTAAGAGAAATGATCTCAGGACAGCCTTTGATCGTGTAGAGATGTAATACTCCTCGAGATTGTTGCAATGTCAAACAATGGATGATACAAAAATAAAAAAAAATGATATAGTCTATAAAGAGTGTTAGGTGACTCACCTTGATGTACCATTCTGCAGAGGAATTTAACAATTATCAAAAAAAACTTCTTCTATTAAGTAAATTTAGTAAGTTGGTTTTATGAAATGGAAATACAATTCAGGCTTGTGTTAATCTAGCTGTTCAAAGTTAGTGTACAATTTTTTTATATAGTTTTCAGGTTTGTATGCAAGTGCAGTCAAGTTAGTAAGCGGTGGCTGTTTCTTTAATTTATTTAGATGAAAGATGAAAATAAATTCAGCACTCTTACACAATAGAAGGATTGTATTTATTCAATTGTTTATTTTTTTTATCAGAACGCAAAGTTCACAAGCGAGAGGAGGCCTCTCTGTCCACCTAGCCCACTTGGTGATGAACAGCTGATTGATTCAGTGATCTAGCTGCTTCTTGAAAGAAGCCAGGGTACCACCTTCAACCACAACGCTGACAGCCTGTTCCAGACTTCCACAGCCCCCTGGGTAAAGAAGTGCTGCCTTTTATTGCACCTTTATTGCACTTTCCCTTTAAATCTATGATATGCCACCCATTTAATAGTGGTTCAGCCACTCACGACAGAGCACATGGATATTGAAATTTAAACTGGTACGTTGCTAAACACTCCTTCAAGTATCATACGACATGTTCCCAATCAGATCAAGTCTGGAGAAGTGTTCAGACTGAAAGTACATAACTGGAGTACCTTTCACCGAGGGCCTGCTAATGTTCTGGTCAGATCCAGACTGTTCCAATGCTTGGGTTGCCGGCTGGCGGTTACTCATGGCCCAATCTGAAACCAAGTTAAAAATGTACTTCCATAATGCTGAAATATACATTTCTGCTACAGCAAGGTCAAGGATACTGTTAAATGACTTAGATGTTAAATGTATTCTACTTTTTGTGCTTGGATAACATGAAATGCTTGAAATGCTCCTAAATAGGATGTTAATATTTTATTACTTTATCATGTTAATACAGTGGAATCTGGTTTTCAAATGACTTTTAACTAATTGCTAATTTTTTTAACAAAGATTTTGCAACATAGTCAAAATATTACTTCACACCGTCTTCACTGTACGCCCCGGGCGAACAGTTTCAGAATGTCGGGAAAATAAACTCTGAAGGAGTTTTCTAGAGGAGAAATTGGAACCGGAGAGCGATACGGCATCCTCAGATTCCTCGTCAACCTACCAGCAAAGGAAGACTGGAGATTGTTCAGATTCTGGTCCAGGAGCTGAGAAGGAAGGAAGCCCGATGAAGACGCCTCCTGCACTGGCTCTCCAGCGGCTGGCTGAGCACCACTGTTCGCAAGGGTCTCCTCTCCAAAGGCCGCCTGCCACTCCTGGCTGAAACCCCCCTCTTCCAGAGAAGTGCTGTTCAGGATCTCGCTGAGTAAGGCCATTTCGTCCTTCTCACTTCCCTCCTGCTCGGGAAGGCTTGAGAGCAGATCGTGCTGGGCTGAAACGACAATACGGACTGCTTTAAACACACAGCACTTTTTGAAGGCTGTTTGGGCAGACATGTCTGACTAGCAGAAATAAAATACAGACCAATTTGTGCGTACTTCACTCGATATACAGTATATACTGTAACCCCTTTAGCACAGCACAGTCCATAAAGATGATCCCTATCACTGAGAGATACTCATGTCTGCTGGAGGACCTTAGGACGTAAGCAAAAAAACACCCAGGGAAACACCTCAAACCGTCAAACCAATCCATATAAATGACAAGGTACTACTATGTTACTCCGCATATTCTGGAGATTCACATATAACATGGCACATACTGTAGCACAGAAAGCTGTGATCTACAAGGATATACTGTATAGGGACACAACACTAAGAGTCAATGGAGTTCTTCCTAGATTCACAGAAAGAGAATCTGTTTGCCTTGATTTCACAAATCAATGGGTTGGCAAAAAGGAACAAAACACAAAACAGAACAAAAATAAAAGGGTGCTTTGTCCTGTTTATTAAATCTATCCAGTTTAATTTCACACAGTAAAGTACATTTTATAGGGGACCTACTTACCTAAGCTACTTAAGCAAGTGAGCAGACTCTGTCAATGCATTCATATTAACTAAGACATTCTAACCTAGCTAAAGAAGGATTGGAGTGGTCACGTGCCATTATAATCAAGTTGAAAGGAATTATTCAGGGAGTGAATTATCATGTATATTGTCTTACAATTACATTCCACATAAAAGCTGTAAAAACCTGAGAATGTCTTTAATTATTTAACAATCCACAGATCAGATAACAAGGTTGTATGACCTACCTAATTCATGTTGCAGCCTCCACATTGCGTTTTTATGTGGGAAGTACTGTATGTGGCAGGGAATTTCTTATAATCTCTTATAGATACCTCACTATCTGCATTTTAAAGACTCCCAGGAAACAGGAGGTGTATGCTGAAATAAATCGGACTGAATTGCTATTTACAGGTGTATCGTTAATTTAGCAAATAGCATTATGTGTTGTTGTGGGGCTCTTTTTGAAGCTTAATATAATACATGTTTCAAAAGGAATGTCTTATTGAAAACTACGCACCCCACAATTTCTACTGCTACTGTGACTTGCTACTGCAGATCTTTATAATAAAGAAAAGTGTTCACTCACCTGTATTTTGGTTTCCACTTAAATTCACCTCTTCAAAGCCTGGTGAGAAGCCTTCCCCACTGTGGTGTAGAGATGCAGAATGTACTGTAATGGAAAAAGAGCACAAACAAATACTCCACCAGCCAATAGCAGCTCTATCGAGTAGAAATAAAAAATTCCAAATGAGCAATGAAAATCGTTAGATCTGGCAATATTGTTAGTATTGGCTTTCATTGGAATTTATACGAAACAAAATGTCTCTTTGTGAAGACGTGCAGTGATTTGGTTTGGGGAACATTACTCTGTGGTAAGATAAAGATTCTAGTCTGGATCACATTTCCCAGAATGCTGTGGAATGAGCTGGTGCCCTCAGTCACCTGACCAGTTGCTGCAAGATAATTGATCAGGTGACATTTAAAAAAGCAGGAAGCTCAGGCTTCCACCTGTTGGTCAGTCTGCCATCTGGGAACAGAGGACAGATTCTCGGTAGTGCAATCCGCCACAGGGAAGGGAGAAGGTAGTGACCAATTGTGGGGCCCGGACAACATTTGAAACAGAGAGGCTGTGAGTTGTTTGAAAGAGTTTTGTGGAGGAAATCCAGGGAGAGACTGGATTTCGAGAGATGTTTGTTTTGAGATTGGTAAACCATTAAGCTCCCTAGCTGTGATAGGGCTCTTGTCAATCTTGCCTTTGTCTGTTTTACTCTGACCCCACCTATCACACATCCTATTTTATGATACCCTGCACCAAGGTGCTTCACAAACTCAGAGAATTTCAGCCTTGAAACCCCAAAAACATTTGATGTTAAAAAACAGTTAACAAACACGCATATTTTTTTATTTTACTTAAAGGGGAAACAGTGTTTTAATAAGTGGAATTACCTGTATGGCTTGATTCCTCTTTGTGCTTTTCACTGTCTAATGAAATGAGCCTGAAGAAACAATAAAATAGTTATATAAACATCATTCAAAAACGATTATGGAAAAAGGAGATAAATATGCAATATAATGTGAATGACATATTGTACTAATAAAACGGTTTCTGCAAAATTGTAATGTTTCCTAACACACAGGCTCCGAGTATACTTTAAGCTCAGCAAGGAAATGCTACAATATCACAGAGTGTCTGATAACCAGATAAGATCCACAGTTGCTCCAGGCCTATATGACAGCATTTCACACAGTGCTGTGTGCCAGACTCTAAGGGGAGGAGGGTTTGTTTACTACCTACAACACTACTTACAGCAGCACCCTGGTCTTCCGAGAAGGTCTGCCATTCCAGTACTGTCTAGGCCCATGTTTCTATATTTCAAGTACTGTAATGAAGACAAGTACTTTTTTTGTTTTAATGTTCAAAATATACAAAGAGAATACTGTAAAAGCCATAAACTATCCCAAGTGGGTGAAAAGGTATTAAAATACCTACAGTAGTTCTGGGACAGGAGAGTATGAACGAAAACCTCCAGGATTTACTTGAGATTGAAAACTGAAAATGAAGCACCTTCACCACGCTGGGACATTTTTTGTCTTTGGCCGTGGTTGTTGCCAACTAAGCTGCTAAAGTCGAACCAGAGTTTCTCTTAAGCAGAGACTGTGTAAGTCTTAGCTCACAGGGGGGATACAAGCACCAGTAAAACAGCAAGTGTCAGAAAAAAACCCTCAGACACAGGGGTGATTTCATATCTGTAGTTGTACTCTTAAAAAAGCAACACATTTTAATGTTTGTCCTCAATGGTCAGTTTCAGTAGGCCTAACACTGGAAGTGTAATGGGTGTAAAACGAATCATTTTTTAACATACAAAATACTGTACATGGTGCTCATATTTTGTTAATTGTGGTGTAAAACCTGACAGTAATGACTGGCTTCTTTATCCAGGTACTTCATGAGAAGCCAATGCAATATTCATGTCAGACACACGCTTAGAGGGGAAGAGCAGCCCTGCTGGACTCACTGCTCATCCACGTCAGGTGACCTCTCCCTGCTGTCCTTCTTCCCCTTGATCCTCCTCCTGCTCTTCTTCTTCGCCCCCTGATCCGTCAGTTTATTCGCGGGGTCTTGCAGGCTCTTACAGTCATAAAGGCAGAAAAGGATGAGTCACACGGAATGCATTTCCACTTCGCCTCTTTTATTTTACCCATTAAAAGGCGCAATCCAAAGGTCACACTTTGGTCAGACGGTTTCCAGAGAGAGCCAGCTGCTTCCCTTCCCTGTTCAGCAGCATTCTGTCCAAATTGATTGCGAAAATTGTCACCCTCCCAATAGCAACTATGACAATTCTTTCAAAACACACTTGTGCTTTGTTTTTCACTTTAGTGAGTCTTTAGTGGTGATGGATGGCCTCAGGAACACAATACAATAATACATCGATTAAGTACAAAAATATAAACTGTTTTGGGGATCCGGAGCCGTATTATCTATGATCTAGATAATATGGCTTCAAGCCTACACCATGTCAATAGCTGGCTGTATCCTCCAGGCTGCACATACATTATCTTCCAATTTGTGCTGGACCTCCTCTATGTCACTGCTAAGCTTACATAACAAAGATGAGTGTGTTAGCAATAATAACTGCATAATTTTACAATACCTAAATGCATATTATAATTTTACTATACCTAAATGTATAATTATAGTACAATGTAAGAGTTGCACCAATAAAAGAATAATAAATAGGTAGACAGAAGGTAAACATTTACTGTATGTACAATATAAGTGAATTATTTTAACTTATTTAGGATAATTTTAAAGATTTTTTCAAATATCTTTAGCCTTACAGGTATAATGGTTGTATTTGTTAAGGATGTTTACTAAATACAATTTCCTGTCATTGTTATATTAAATATCTAAAATACATTAGGTCATACACACATCCATCAGTTGGTTAGACCTTTCTAAAAACACTGTAAATAGCTGCATGCTAGCTCTGCAACAGGATGCTATGCTGATAATGTAAAAGACATATTGGGCATTTAAAATTGTTTTGTGAATGTGCAATCTACTTCAAGTATTCATCTTGGTAACATACAGTACATAAAGCTTCCTTCTACATTTAATGCAGTTTCCTTTCCTCCAAATGCCCTCCCTTTGAGCTCACTGAATGCATCTGGCACAGAGTCCAGGTACTGTACCTAAAACCTGGTTTGTGAAACTCGGGTTAATATCTTTCAGGATTCTCCCTCTGTCAAATCCCAGAGGAGGATAACCGAAAAACATTCAATGCTTGAGGTCATGCATATTTTATATCCCCGGTTTACCACAGCAACAGATGCCCATTATTTCAAAAGTACTTCAGCCCTTTGGCATGGCTTTTTAACACAATGCAACGATTCATGTGATGGGCGGGGGGAGTATTCCGTTGTGTGGTTTTTTATTTCAAGCTTCTTTCTCATCCTCATCTCAGAGCAACAGAATATTCCGCACAGGAGGAAGCAGAAAAACTGCCAACATCCTGTGTGCAGCACAGACCTGATTTCAGGAATGGGTGCAACACACAGGCTGTGTACTGTATATTACTCTGGAGAAAGCGCTGCAGTCTATGAGTCAAAACAAGAGCTCCCGCTGAGTCACAGTATTCATCATGAGCTCACAAGTGCCTTGCAATATTCATGGCTCCTGTGTGGAAGCTAGTTGCAGTTATACAATAGATGAAAGCTTTTACAGTGTGGAGGCAGATACAAACAAAACACATTTTTTTATTTGGTGCTAAACAGGTTTCTTTTAGAAACAACTGATTGCCTGATTTAATTTTCCTGGCCATCTTAATACAATAAATCTCTTCTTTCAACGGCGAAAGCATATCGCATCACCTTTAACACATAAAAAAGTGGATAAATGACTGTTCATAATAACGCTGTATTCTCCCCATTTGTGTCTTCACACAAGTGACTATGAAATACTGCCTAATGTATACTTTATTTTTTAACATATCAGACAAATGTCAAATTGCACAGGAGTTCAATAATTAATTGTGTGATTTGGTGGAACCGAGACCAGAAGGTGTGCTGGTTCCCTGGAGCAGGATCCTCTAAGGTAGACTTAATTTTCATTTAATCACCTTCTCCAGTGATAGTGGAACTGCACAGAGAGAGGCTGAGCGTTTGGAACAAGTGCAGTATACATTCACTGAACATTGCAAGACTTTTAGTTTGTAATTCTTCAATAACATTGGAATGATTTCAGTCAGCTTCACTAATAAAGATTCATTTCTAATCAAGAGTTTTATTTATATATTCCTGTCAGAAAAATATTAAAATGCCGATTATAAATTTGAAATAAATTTCTTCTTTAAGTTGGACAAAAACCGTCTGCATGCGTAGGCTGCAAAGGAACAAGTAATAGGTTTATTCCATGCTGAAAAGAGAAGAAAACACAACGTTTTGGTTGGGGAGCCTTCTTCGGGTCAGCTGAAACGTTGTGTTTTCTTTCTTCTCTTTTCAGCATGAAATAAACCTATGACTTGTTTCATTAATTAATGTCCAGATGTGATAAATGCAGCTCTGTCTGTGCCTACTAGGATTCAGTCCCAGGTGTTTATGGGCTCTGAGCACAGCACTGATCCCCAGACAACAGATCAGGTCACCACTTGAAAAGACTGGGTCCCCACCTATGACGGAGATTTACAGTACACTGTCTAGATTTCATAGGAGGGTAACATCACTTTTGTCACTGGTGCAGTGCACTTAATGCACTGTTACAGATCATTCTGTGATGATAGACATGACAAAACCAGTCTATGTTTGGAAAATATTTCTTCATCTATTGAAAAAATCCAAAGCAAACTATTAGGTTATTCAATACCTGATACAGTATTTACAGCAGCCAAACAATCAATGCAGTGATATACTCATCGATGCAGCTATTTACTTCCTTCAGGTTTTTAAAGACATTTCTTCTTTGCAGTTCTTCATGAAACTTGATGTTTAAACGGAAGATACAATTATGTACTGTTGGTTTGTCATGCTTCTGCCTCACCTGGTGCTCTGTAACTGATTTCCGATGCATCCGCTGTGCTTGTACACAAACCAGGTAGCTAACAGAAGTTAGTGTAATTACACTAACACAGTATGCCGTAATCTCATTTTGTGACTGTTTGCAATCATTACACAAACCATGCTTGACGGACTACCACACTTTAATATGGTTTATTTTTATATTAACTACCAACAAAGAGTTCTCACTGCGTTCCATATCCTTGCTTAATCAAGGAAACAGATTTTCTCAGCATGGGAGTTATGCACAGCAAATAATGACAACCATTGCTGTCAGCATATGGGGTATGGTTACCATGTTTAATCGAGACTTTTCCCAGGTCAAAGAGGCATGCATTGGAATCTGCTCAAACAGAATCAGCCAAATTTTACTTCTAAAATACCAGGATATATTTATGGCTTATAAGAACAATATTAACCGATTTAGAAAAGTCCACAAACTGACAGTCACCTACATAGTCTCTTTAAATGCTATTGTGTTTGGCAGCCAGTGCATCTCACTAAAACCTGCCTTATGCCTTATTGGAGAACTCAGGAAGCGCAAACTCTCTAAATGTGCTTCCAAAATTTGTATCCTGTCATAGGTAAAAAGGTTATATCAATAAACTGTAATGATAAAAATGTTTTCCCTTTCACAATGGCCATCAATAATGTTTGGAAATCTTTAACTTGAGAAATCCATTCATTAACTATTTTATTGGATGGGACGTATTCCTGACCATTTATTACTATTTTGTGGTTTATTATTGTTATTCTGTGATTTGCTAAGTATTTTGTATATGTATTTTGGTGACATAATGTAATTTATGTATTTTTACATTGTCCCAAATACTGTATTTTGGATGAATTGCTCCAGTTTCCACTTCAGTGACTTAAAGTTAAACTTCCTGAACATTGTCTCCCTTTTACTTTTTAGTTCTGTACTGTGTTTGTACTGTTACAGTATATTAACTACATCTTGCATTATTTAAGACTTATAACGAACTTTACAGTACTATTTATATCACTGCAAGCTGGAAATGGGTTTTCAACAAGATTTTATTTAGAACATCCAAGATGCAACACTTATGTCCTTATGTCCCTTCCATTCTATTAATGACCTTTAACCTCATCCTCAAAATCATGCCCAGTTACACCACACATGCGAACTTCACTTGCTTTAATGTGAAGCTTTACTGCACCTCTGTATTGTACATGTATACTGTACTAAACCGAGAAACGTTATATCTTAACATATAGACTTCGATTGCCACCCAGACATTTTCACATACAGTACACATGGTATTACATAACAAAATGCAATCTCACACTACAATCATTAACTGTTATTAATAAAAGCTAATAAAAATGCACTCTGAAGATATTACAGAGGTTTTCATATTGCCAATTTAAATTACTTTATACAGTACATAAATTAAAAATAAGGTAAAAGACAAATGAGTTTTTGTGTACAGAATGTAGGGCAAGAGACTGCTGCCACATATTAACACTAAAACATATGGTCACATACGAGTTTCAAGCCTTAGGCTACATCTCTCAGATACTGTGGACACTCCTTCCCCCTATCACTGAAATGTAGAAGTAAAATAACCACATTACAACTTAAATATATTTGCAAGGGCTATAAAGAGTAAATAAATGCCTAGAATTTCTAAAATGAATTCTGTTCCTTAATCAACTACTATAATGCAATAATGTGACAATGAATTCAACAAATGGTAAAAAAATAAAATGAACAAAGCTCATGTCTTGTCAAAAGAGTGCACAAGGACAGGGGACCTGGAAACTCAAAAGACTTAAAAGTGGAAGGTTTAAGTCACAGACTAAGCCTGTTGAAAACAGGAAGAAATAGTTACACTGAAAATTAAATCGACTCGTCTCTCACAGGCACACAGACCACTTCGACATACCTGTTCAGTTCTTACTAAATAGAAGCTTACCTTCAGCGTTGTGAATTCATAAGGCTGATAGCCCTTGAAACTTTCATGGATGGCTGCCATGGTGTGGGAAGTTTTCTCCCAGAAGTGAAGAAGTGTGGTCTGCAAAAGGGGGGAAAAAAGTTCAAAATGGATAAAAATGTATTTTAAAGATTTAAAATGCAAGATTTACATTAACTAGAAGCAACATGGAAGAATGGAATATAACAGCAACAATTGAAAAACACGCCGATACCTCTGCCAATACTGGGGTTGCAATCCAGTGAAGCAGAGTATTCTAAGAAATGTTGTACAGGTACAGTAGGTTTCAAATCGGTCATTGTATTCTGTATGACTGACATACTGTATGAGGGCATCTTTTGATTACTGGCAAGATTGATCCTTTTTACACAAAAATCATTTTAAATCGTTATGTAAAGAAAAAAAGAATGGCTGCAATCGACATCAACCAGGCACTCACTGGTCTCACACCACCTTATAATCTACATTATAACATCCATAGGCTTCTTTGCCTTGACATTTTGCCACTTTTAGTTTTGTTTCTTTCCTTCTTAAAAAATATAAAGTATTCTAAGAGCCTGTATGCCTGTACTTTGATTCTACTAACACGGAACAGTAGGGACAAAAGTCTCTCATGATCCACTGTCATGATGAAATCACAGTGTAAAGGCTGTCAGACATGATGACTATAAACCTTGTCCGAGTTGAGGACACTCTTGAACTGCTATGACAAAGCAATAGACATTTATACTTTATTAGTAGCAATTAAATACTATAGCAGGTTGTAGATATGAATATTACATTTTTCAATATTGAGGTTTTCTTTTATGGTTTGAATGCAATTTAAGAAGTTATTTCATTTGTTCGTGGAGGTATCCGTAGGGACAAAAATGAAAGCAATGTCTTAAGATTTTCTCTTGTGTACCTGATACATTGTTAGCACGTGAGAAAGGAGGTTACAGCGACTTGCACCCAGGAGATCCACCTTCTGGCACACGTCATTCTTTAACTTGTCAAAGCTTGTTTTAGAGAGTCGGACCTGAGCTTGAACCTTAAAGACAAAAATAACTGATGTTACAGAAACATATGTAAAATAGAATCGATAGATTAAATGTGTGAGCAAAGCGACAAGAACAACGAACTTTAAGTCTTTCATTTGTAAGAACATAAAAAGGTGTCAAATGACGGGAGGCCATTTTTGCTGTAACTCATTTAGTCAGTAGATCTGTGGTTTAGATCCAGGTATCACTTTTATGTGAATTCTTGAAGGATCCTTGTTCAAGATGCACCCAGTCCTTTGTACGAATAAGTGGTTGCTCTTTTCATTCTTCAATGAACATTCTCTGTCGAATTCCGCTTCTGTTCTTATTTCGTTATTGGTCTGAAGTTAGTCCACAGGGTTGACTTCATCAATACCTTTCAGGATTTAAAATATTTGTATCCTCTAAAAATTGAGAGTACTATTTATTTATACAATCTCCACAGAGGCCAGCTCTTAAGGTATGAAATATTCTGAAGAGTGGTATTACTTCTCATCTTCTAGGAAGACACTAAACTAACAGATCAGTGATCATAAAAACTGCCTGTTTCGCACATCCATGACACCTCCAGTTGTTCCACAGTCTGGAAACAGAAATGCTTGAATCAGTGCTGAAATGGTCTTATTCAAAGAAAGGTTAAAATGCCATGAAGAATTCAACTCTGTCCAGAGTTACATGTATTTAAAACACATTGCATGAAAGCGGTTTCTTATACGTATCCTTCTACAATTAGCTCCAGGAGAATTATACACTAGTCAGAGAATTTAAGTGCTTGAATTAAAGACAATGCATTAGTTACAAATACTGTAGCATAAGTAAAGCTTCTCACTAATGTAACCATTCCATAAACGTGTTATGATTAATAATAACTATTAGTCATATTTTTAATGTGCCATGTTTAACTGAATAAATTCTGAGTGAGACTAAATTGTGCCTATTTCCTTTCTTCTCTGAAATAGCAAGGAATACACCAGAATCTCCTCCCAAAAACATCTGGAATACAGGACTGGCTGTGGTTCAATGCAGCTGAAAACTGTTAGAAGTGTATCCAGAGCTCTCTCCTACAAATATTCTAAAATGCCTAAATCTCTTAAAACAGTGCATCAGGCATCCCATAACCTAATAAACAATTGTCTCATACACATAAAGATAGACCGGGCCATCACAACGTGAACAATGTGCTCATCTCCACAACAGCCATCTCATTACGTGGCCTTTCAACGGTAATATTCTGAACTGATGATGATGAATAGAAATCAGCTGGTTCTTACACAACCATATACGACACTCTGTGCTTATGGATTTATTAAAAATAAAAAGCAAAGAAAAGACCTGTTTAAACATCAAGGTCTCATTCAGATGAAGCTAAGAGCCTCATGCATATTTAATAAATAATAACCTTTATTGTAGGATAATTAATGCAATTCTTGGAATGAAAGGTTACCGTGTACATTATGTTAGGATTGATGGGGGGGCCCTTATTCTCCAATAGCACAGTGTGATAGTGAATCTCTCACACATTAAAATTATAATTTCATTTGTCTGATGTACAGCTTGCACCCTCTTGTGGGAAGAAGAAACAACAGCAACACATCACTGGTAGAGTGAATGCTTGTAGTATAGAGACCGTACCTCTCAGTTTTTCCCAGAATCAATAATACCAAGACGTGACGGACCTCTGATGATGTAGGGAACAATCACAATCACCAAGAAAGGGTATGGAACGGACGGCAAACTTTTTAACCATCCACATAACATACAGTGTGCATACCTTGCGGAACTTTTCCATCTGCTTGAATGTATCTGGATCGAGCTCCTGGGAAACATCTTTCATCCAAAGCAGAGCCCCACGGTACTCTGTCCTCGATTGCTCCATCCTGTTCACGGTCAGCCAAGTGTCAGAGATGGCTCTGTACCTGAATGTCTCCACTTCCTGGTACAGTCGGCACAAGGGGGTACGCAAAGCCAGCCTTTAGGGGACATATATAAAGAATACAAATATAATTGGACACGCGCTGCCGTGGCTGACATGTTCTGGAAACTACTTTGATAACTCAAGCGGGTAACAGCGACAGCAAAATATTAAGCATGTCTCAGCAAGTCAAGAGGGCTATGTGCACTCTGGGATGTTCAGGGAGAGCTCTCCAACAGAGGAGCGGGACAATGACGGACCTTCATGAATAACTATTCTGTAACTATTTCCAACACAGTTTGAGTGCCACTTAAAACCTTCCTGAAAATGGCATTAGAATTTGAATTATTAATTGCCCACATTTGCAACCTTAAGGTCTGAACAGTTACCATCAATGAAAACAATGAGCCTGTTGGACACTCCTGATTAGTTCCTGAGTAAAGGCAGAAACCCCAAACATTCCTGAGTCTTAATTAATAATCATAATAATAATTGCTTACACCTATATAGTGTAAGCAATATATAAGTGGACATATATTCTGGACACTCCAGTCAAAGCGCTTTAAAGGTAATGGGGATCCCCTCCACCACCACCAATGTGCAGCCCCACCTGGATGATGCGACAGCAGCCATAGTGCACCAGAACGCTCACCACACACCAGCTATCAGTGGAATTCTCAGAGCATTTCATAGATGGGGATTATTAGGAGGCCATGATTGGTAAGGGCCAATGGGAAATTTGGCCAGGATACCGGGGTTATACCCTTACTCTTTTCGAGAAACGCCCTGAGATTTTTAATGACCACAGAGAGTCAGGACCTCGGTTTTACGTCTCATCTGAAGGATGGCGCCTGTTTACAGTATAGTGTCCCCGTCACTATACTGGGGCTTTAGGACCCACATGGACCTCAGGGTGAGTGCCCCCTGCTGGCCCCACTAACACCTCTTCCAGCAGAGACCAAGGAGTTTTTCCCAGGAGTCTCCTATCCAGGTACTGACCAGGCTCACACCTGCTGAGCTTCAGTGGGCTGCCAGCTGTGAGTTGCAGAGTGAGAGGGCTGCTGGTCTTATGGTGAGAAGGTAGAACACTAAAACTGCAGTTATGCTTGGTTATCTTCTTAACATAATTAAAAGACATGTCAGCATTACATTTTTTTATTTAAGGTAGTCATAATGATATAAGAAACATACTATACTTTATATTGTTTTTTAAGTTTTTTTAACAAAGACTATTCAGAATAAATAGACCGGTCTGCACTTGAAACCAGGAACTCACCTCTGCTGAGAGGAGAAACAGAGTGCCTTTCCAGTAGCCTGCATGATTTTACCTGCTCGGGTTTTGTCTTGTGAACCCTGTGATCTAAGAAAACGTCCCAGTTCATTCTCTTCCTGAGATAAAACTGGCAAAAATATACGAGATGGTCAGTCTTCATTTTCATTGCACTTAAAAATCAAACAAGCAAGTGCACATCACTTATAGTCTTAACTAGCAACTTGAAAAATGTACGGATTTTTTTTTCCAACAGCTGTAAAGAATAAACAGATTTTGCAATCTTTGCTGTTGCTTGGAAATACCAAATACACTGAAGCTGGTGTACTGTGACAAAAATGTGAGTGTCTTTCAATTCTAACTGCAAAATAGACACCACTGAAATTCATTCTGTATTTCCAGACAATGGCTGCACAGTGGTGCAGTAGTTAGCATTGCTGCCTCATAGCACTGGGGCCCTGGGTTCAGTTCTGGACCCTGGGTTAGTCTCTGTGTGGAGTTTGTATGTTAGCATGGGTTTCCTCCCACAGTCCAAAAATATACTGGTAGGTTAACTGGCTTCTGGGAAAATTGGTCCTGGTGTGAGTGTGTGTGTCTGCCCTGTGATGGACTGACATCCCATCCAGGGTGTGTCCTGCCTTGGGCCCGTTGCTTGCTGGGATAGGCTCCAGCTCTCCCGTGACCCTGAATGTGAAGAAGCAGTTAGAAAATGGATGGGTGGATCAAAAACTTCAAGTTGTTGCGAAGCGAAAAGCTGATATTACTCAGGCACCTGGGTATGAATGCTCATTACTCCCAGAAACAGCTGCTTTCACTGATCTGTTTGCCACAAAAGTGCACCTTCAGTGATTCTGAGCAACAAGTAAAAATATTCAGAGTAAGGACAGCTAAATATTTCATTCAAGGTGTGATCAATCAAACACCTCTATACCTTTCCTGTAACATATTCTTTCACTTTCACTGACGTTGGTAGCCTCAGAGGATTGTGTTGAGCTAGAGCCCTGCCTGGCAGGCAAGGACACATGGCAGAGGGCAGAACTGCACCCTGGATGGAATGCCAGTCTATCACGGGGCACACACAATGGCCTGAGTACTGTAGGTGGCAATGCAGATACACCAGTTAACCTGGACAGCATGTCATTGGCTCCTGGGAGGAACCTGAAACGGCAGAAGAAACCCGTGTGGAAATGGGGAGAAACCGCCCACTCACTCAGGAGCTGCTCCAGGACACAGGAGCTGTGAGGCACTTCTGTCACATGTCCATGAAAACCGGCTGATCAAAAGGTTTCATGCATTCATGAAAACGTTTCAATCTTACGCCTTCCTGGAGCCAAAATGGGAAGCACCTGTAAAATACTTACAGCAAATTCTCCTCTGATATTGCTCTATGACTTTCAATAATTCCATACACGTTCTTTGGATTGAGTGAAACACCTATCAAAAAATACAAAACCCTTTAGCTCTGATATACCCTGCACAAGGACTCAAGCCAGATATCATACTGAGGGAGGAACCAAGACCTTAATGCTTGGTGCTTCTTTTGTATCGATAACCAAGATTTGACTGGCTTTAAAAGCCTTATAGCAGAACATTGGAAAGTCAGGAAGTTCAGCTGCATGTGAATGGATAAAAAACACCATATGAACTCCCGCTGAACCAGCAGCAAAACATGAAACAGTGGTCAAGAGGAATGTGTGGAGGTGAATTTAAAAGCCTCATACAGGACTTTTCGAATGCCCTCCCCTCATGTTCTTATGGATTGTATCATGTTTATTAGTCCAAGAACTATTTTAACAAAGAAAGTTAAATAGATCTTGATGGTAAATAAATCAAAACATTTTAATGTTGTTCAGTTACATATAAAACTATTTTGTTCTGAAAATTTTGAAGGGGACCTCTGTGAACCATTATTTCAATTTGACTACTTCCTCAAACACAGGCTAGTTTGCTTTTACGGTATGAACTGAAAAAATATATCACACATATTTTGAGCATTAAGTATCACATAGCTAATTGTTCTGTGCAGCAATTACTGCACCGGGATTGTTTTCTGAACATTTTCTTTTTCCCCATTATGAATTTATTACATTTAAATTATATTTTAGTATATCTTTTCAATTACATTTTAACATTGACAGTGTTTATGGGGTTTTTCTACATAGCTTGTATTAAAAATCTGTGAATGAATAGTTCAATATCACAAGCAAAACACGTGAAGAACATTTAATCTCAAATTATTCCGTGGGAGAACAGGCTCCTGCTGTGGACTCACCTCCAGTTTAGCATCAAGGTCTGCATCAGAGGCAACAACATGTTCGTCTTCCTTTTTCCCCGTCACTTTAATCAGCGTCTGCTTAGTCCTCCAGTATTTCTGCTGGAACTTGTTCACAACAGAGCTATCTTGGCTTTGTATGAAGCGGTCGTACTGCTCACGGGAATACCCACTACAATGGCGCAGGTGAAAAGATATCAGTAACACGCTGGATCGATTCCAGTTCAGCGGAATTTGAAAAAATAAAACTTTTTATTTTATTTATTGGATTTATTTTCCAAACCCTTTCTTCTCATTTTACAGGAGAAATACAACATCTTTCATCAAATGTTTTTTTAACGTTCGTTCAAACAACATTTTAAAGCGAATCCGTTGATCAGTTTCACTTAACAACATGATGCATTTTACACTGCTGAAAACGGCAACGAATGTGTTCAAATACAAATAGAAAATGATTGTGAAATTAGTACCTCTTTAGGGACTGCATACATGTAGAGCACATTGTAAAAATACAATACAATTAAGAAATATAAATGTAAATATGACATGGGGGCACATTAACTGCACCAATACCTAATACCCAAGTGATCTGAATACACTGGAGCTTTCCTAACCCAGACTGTAATTTTGAAAAGCTTTTTTTTGTCTTTTGAATTTTCCATTTTATTCTCCTCTCAAACAATTTAAATTGGTCTTCACTAAGACTTCAGCGAGCATACTTACTAATTTCGGCCATCCATATTTTCAAAACTTCACTTCCAACCTGCAATTAAAATTGGTAAAAATCACTTTTTTAAGACATATAAGTATACATAAGTATATAAGGCTATAAAATAAAGATAAGAGAAAAACTTAAATAATTAAACTATTACTATTATAGCTTTTTTTGTGATAAGGAATCACGATTTTGCAAACAATTTCAGTCAGAACTTAGTAGCCTGCCTGAAGGCCAATTTACCCTAGTTGCCTAGACATGCAATTTAACCATTATAAATTAGGTTAAGAGAATTGGCTGGTATTTGTCAGTGGAAACAGAACCATTGCTGTGATGAACTACACTTCCCATAAGCCCACTGGGCTACTTCCTGTGTTCCTTCTACCCTGGGAATGGCTAACATGCTTGGCAGCTTGGCAGTTACATCAATCAAATCAAACCTGGGGTTTTATGGGATGGAGAGACACCAGTCATGCAGTATTGCAGACAATTTCTTTCTGCAAATAAAACACAACGAGAGGGTTTCCCAGTGTGGTCTTCTCTCACAGTGGCTCAGCACATGCAGACAGCCACTCCCTTCATCGTAATCTACGAGCCCATGCGAGAACGCCTCTCACCGTGCTGGAATAACCCATCCTGTGAAATGATTCTGGTGTTGAAAATTCACATAAAAATGAGATGCTGAAGACATGTCATAATATTCATAATAGTAAGAAATAAACATGAAGCAAAATGTTATGTTGGATGACATCATGCACAGAATCTGGCAGATGTGATAAATCACACCACAGATTGCCAAGGGTAAATGGAGCAGTGTCAGTCTCTTAACTCCTCCACTAATAGAGACATGCAAACAGTTTTAAAGTAGTTCATCTAAGCAAATGGTTATTTCTAATTACATTTATAGACACAGGCAGAGTTAAAACACGAAAAACCTTGACCCTTCAGGGCCAGGACTGTATATCCAAGAATTAGATCAGCAGTTTCCAGCTCTTCTCCTGGGAAGCCCTGATCCAGAAGGTTTTATACAGTAGGTATACTTTAAAATCGGTGTCTCAGATGACTTGGAAAAATGTAAGCAACCATTCTGATTTAAGTGATCAATTAAGAATGGATTTTTTTAGATCAAGTAATGTAAAGATAACCTGGTAAAAAAATCCTTCAATTCTCATTGACCACGGTTTCTTTTCGTATTTGATGTCTTTCAGATCTTTTAAGTCACAGATCTCCAAACCTGGTCTGGGAGGTTTTCACCCTTGATCCTGGACAGGGTTTGGAGACCTGCAGCTTAGAGTAAAAAAAATATCTCCACATTGTCTAGAGTGTAAAGAACAGGAGATGAAGCAGACCTAGGAATACAGCACAGATGTGCAACCTGCAGCAGCTTCTCCCTTCAGATTCACGTTATGATTAAAAATGTATCACAGTAAACCAGCACAGAAGCCCATTGGACACACAGAGCGGTCACAGTTGACACTCATGTGGTCATCACAATACTGTAAGAAGACATTTTGGCCAAAATGGTCAATTACATCATCTGATCTCGCCTACTAAGCCTTCCTGTGAGGTACAATGCCTTTTTAGGAAGCATTCATTTTTAATAAAGACAAACTAGTAATAAGTTAAAGTTTAACTAAGTTAAAGTTAATATCTGGATGCAGAGCAAATATTTTTGGAATTTTCTATGTCAATGTTAAACTCCCCCCCAACACTTAAACCTCATGATCTGTAGAACAGTAGTTTTCCAAACCTCCTGTGATCCCCACTGTGTTTTCCACTAGGGCATTAACAAAAATTAAAATACTCCTACAGTAGGTAAGATGTTTTTAAAATATTTCAACCCTTTTTAGACCACATATAAACATTAATGTTCTATTTTAGTATTTGTGCAGGTCTTCTGATCCCCAAAGCCATTTTGTTCTGAAGTGTTACTACAGTATATGTAAACAAAACATAAAATGGTATCCTGTGTAATTGTACAACCTTCAGTATTAACAGGTTTGCAGGATTTCAGCTGTTTAATTAGAGAAGGTTGGATCTGTAGCAGACACAGTAAAGGGCTAATGGATTCTTACCAGGCTAGTATTATCAATAATACTGGGAAATATGGATAAATTCATCTTGAAAAGTAGGAAAAGACAGATGATGAAAAAGAAGTTGGGTTTAAGAATACTCCCTCCCCTTCTAAAAACAAACACACTCAGGAAAAAAAGAAATTTTCACAAAAAAATTACCTTGACTATTTCAATGAAACACTGGTAGACAAGGCTTTGATCTCAAATTCCATTTGAAGAAAATCCACAAATTCAGTGAAACAGACAACTTCAGAAAATTGATTCACAGCACAAGTAGTAAAGAAACTGTACAGATGGCAAGAAAACAAGAAAACCTGAGTACTGGTCTAGTAAATAAGCAAGTATTTCGAACGTAAAGTAAATGATAAATATTTCCAAATACATGAGCATACTGAACAATAAGAAGCAAAAACAACTGATCTCCTCTGGTCTCTGATTGTGTTCCTTACCTGGTCATTTTTTGGTCTCTCAAAAGGAAAAGGTTTGACTCACTTTCAATAGCAATCAATTCCAACTAACAGAGCAGTGTTCCCCATCTTGCTTTGAGCAAAAGGACTTCACAGGACTATCTTCATCCTGTCCCCTGGTTCTGTGACTGAAACCCATTGAAGCAATCCAACAGGCTTACTTTCCTATTTAGAATGAGTCCTATTCTTTCTAAATACTATTCATCGGCCTGTATCTTTGGCATATTGCACTTTCCTTGACCTGCTTCCAGATTTCACTAAGAACTGGTGGCCACCGAGCTACAGTACCTCCAGGATCCACAGGTGGGTCTCTGCACTTCACATCTGACCCCCTGAAGGGCTGCTGTGGTGACAGTACAAGAAGACTGATCTCGAAAGAGATCTGACACAACCTACGGCACTGGCCCAGGAATTTCCAAACGTGTTATATCATAATATGTGACATTCAGAGAGTTAGGGTTTTTTTTCAGAGTATACACCCTAAAGCTCGAGTGACCTACAGACAATGCATGATAAGATAACTTGGGGACGAAACCAGAACTGAAGAATACACAGTGAGTCTCCCAACCTTGATATCCATTATTCACCTTAGAATAATGTGTCGTAACATACACAGCAACATACCTGACTATAACCACAACTGTTGGCAAAAACAGCCAAGGTCTGAATCACAGACCAACAAAATACAGATGGGGCATCAGTCCAATGGACAAAGACAGACAAAAAGATGTGCTAAACTAAAATAGTAAAAAATGAAGGATAATCTGGCTTCCTTTCATTTAAAAATCCCAACACAGCAGAAAAGCACGTTAAAGAATAAAAACATGTTCTATACAGTTACAGTAGTTCCAGTGCTAGACCTGCCTTTATTCAAACCATTTTCACTGGAGGTAATGGATACAGGTACAGTGCAAGCATGGAAAATTTGAATTCATCTACGGAGAACAAAGACCTTAGTTATGTTCTGTCCTCTATAACAAATACATTATTAAGCAGTTCATTACATAGAAATGCACCCAGAGCACTGATCACCGCTGTTGTGAATGACCAAATTATAAAAATGACATTTTGCAGAATAAAAACTGAAAGCACTTCCTCGCCAAGCGCAGTAACCCTGTTCCAGCTGTGGAGAGCACAGTCCTGCCCTGCAGTCACTTCTCCTGCCCTGCAGCTGGGAACCTCAACAGAGGAGCTCCAGGGCCAGCACGTGCCTCGTGCCGAAATCCTTCACAACCAGCTTTCCAACTGAGATTAACTTAAACACATAAGAAAAGTTCTTGCTTGTTCAATCCTGAAGGTGAAATACTTCCCTGGGTTCACTTATCTGTACACCTTAGGATCTTATAATTCAACCCATTTGGTAGTTTATATACAACTATATATACTATATACAAATCATACATCAGTTCTCCTGTCAATCTCTTCTGTTCTCCCTTTAAGATATTTATCTCCTTTAGTCTGTCCATATACTGGGATGACAGTCCTCTGAAACGGTAAAAACTAAATTTCCTTCTGAAATTATTCTTGTTGGCACTCTTTGAACTCTTTCTAAAGCTTCAATATACTTTTACGGTATGATAACAATATCTGAACATAATATTCTCTTTGTTTATTTTTGATTCAAATTCCACACTTTTTATACCCATATGCAGTAATCTTTTTTATTTCCCTGTCAGTATTGTCTTAATAGAAAGACACAGGACACAAAGCCCAGATCTCTTTCATGCACAGCTACCTGAAGCTCAGAATCAACCATTTATGGTGTGTTCTACTTCCTGCACGAATCATTTTGCACTCATCAGCATTACATTTTTAATTTGAAAAATGTCGACAGAAGACAAGCCTTTGTCCAGACCTTTTTGGATCACTCCTCTAATTCTTGTATTATCTGCATTTTTGGTTGGTATCCCAAACATGAACAAGGTCCAGATACTGTACATAACAGAGCCACAGAGCCACAGTTTAGGAAGAGGGAAAGACCTCGGACACATCCCTGGTGAACTCCACTGCTTACGTCTGTCCAGTTAAAGCTTATGTCCTTTACGATGACATGATTTGACATTTTCGTGAACATATCCTCAGGTCCTAGCAGTTTATTCGTTTCAAGCTGACCTAGGCTAAGTGGCAACTCAGTGTAAATTATAACCACCCAATTCAGATGATGAAGTACATTTTAAACATGCAAGAAAACGTCAGCCACTGTCACTTTTATATTGACCTTGATAAGTTTAACTGTTTATCACAATCAAAATAAGGAATGTTCAGTAAACTGGAATTATTTATTCACATTCCTGCATGAGATTATATATATATAAAGTACATGATTGTGCAATTCCTGTCTTCTGTTACTTAGTCTAATCAACCGGAAAATAATAACCTGTAAAACAGTATCCATTTAATGTACGATTAATAATACCACTATCGGCAAAATACATGGGTTTTACAGAGGTTTCAAATTAGTAGGTACATACAGCAATCATCAGTACTATAGTATTAATTTACAGTACAGTACTGTACATACTGTATACCAATACGAAAACTGCCTAAAATAGCACTATAATTTAACATACCATTTTTCTATATTCATATTAGCGGCACGATTCACAGCACCGTGCATTTGATAGCTCGTACACATTCTTGAAACCTTTGATATTTTTATTATATATATTTGACCAAATCTAAAGCAAGGCCCCCGGAAGATGAGCTAGTCAAAGCCTAGCAGGTACCCCAGTTAAAGCCCTCGTCCTGCTGCTTAAGCGCGCAAGCAGCCAAGACCGGGCGCAGCAGCAGCAAGAGAAGCAGACCTGCGAGGCTGTTTTTCATTTCGGCCGCACCAAAATCAACAGAACCTGCTCCTCTGTTAACACGTTAACACGTCCGCTGAAGAGAGGCTGAAACAGGCTGCGGCTTTCAGTAGCTTTCATACAGTAAAAAAAAAAAAGCACCAGCATACAGCAGCTGCCTCTCCGCGTAACGAGATGATACAGTTACCAAAGCCTTTCTCATGTTCATAAAACATGAAAACCAAGCTTACCAAATAATGGTTATATCCCGAGAACGCCTTCGAAACGTTGCTTATCGTTTTTCCTCCATTTTTACATCAGCCTCCCCCAGGTGGCTCAGTGCCTCTCCGGCTAAGGCATCAGCTGCTGACGTCATCCCCTGGACTCCGGGGGACACGTCCTGTAGGCTGTCAGAGCAGGTCTCCCTGCGAGGGTGTCGCCGCACCTGCGCTCATACTGTACAAACACTGCGGGTACCTGATACCCGGCTGACAAAACAAATACAGTACGAAGTAGGGAGGTGCAGAAGAAGTCATTTGTAGTCTGTTGTTTTCACAGTGTACGGAGAAACCTGTTTTAAGTGTGGGTGACTAAAAATGATATATCCTTTTTGCTCTGAATTTAATATCTACAACGCGGAATCAACCAATGTTTTTTTTTTTTTCTATCGTGGAATAGCTATCCTGAACTTTCAGGATCCTTCAAACGCTTTGAATCTATATATTACTGAATTATTATTACATCAACTTCATAATTACACCGACAACCTTTATTGTCTAAAAGACACCCGATTCGCAGCTTAGTTTCTTAGGAAAATCCTTACTTCCTAAACAAAATGCAAGGTTATAGAGTTAAAAGTATATTATCAGGGCCTTTTCAGCTGTCTGTTCTTTTCTGCTTTTCTGCTTGATGTTAACACAACTTCATCCTGTTACAGTATGTCATGCCAAGTTGTATTACACATTGACTGTTCTTATATTTCTTAGCCTTGTTTTCTGTGCAATGAAAGTGTAGGCTTCTTGGTCAGGTCATCTTTGTAAATGGTTCTAGGGCAAGTTATCTGGTTAAATAAAGGATTATTGTTGTTAAACACGTCAGTAGAAAAAATATCTGCACCTCCCACTGCATACACACACTTGCTTAAAGGGAAGATAACATTAGCTCCAGGGGCTTTTCAATGATAACCACAGTTAACTTGAAATATTAACCCTTTTAGTCTTGAACAGCAGAGGTTACCACCAGACGTAACTCAGCTACTCAAAATCCTTAAAGACAAAGATAAACTGATGGGCTTGTTTCAAATTTTTAATTCTAGTCCATCTTTAGCCTATTAGTTCAGAACATTTTGTTTTAGCTCCGGAGTGTTTCTGGTTGCTTTTCTCTGGCCTGATTCCAGAGCAGCAATATGTTTTTCATAACCTGGTAACCACAATTGTACATATCAATCTATTAGTCACTACTACAGTGTTCAACTACCAATCTTTCTAGTATATTGTACTAGATTATATACTGTAGTTATGCAAGAGACAATGCATCATTTTGAATAACTTTCATTGTCACTTTGGGAAACATTACAACCTATACTGAAAATGAGTTACATTCCTGGGCTTGAAGAAATGGGCTTGTCTCTGTAACGCAACGGGGGCTCAGGCGGGCGCCCTTGCCGCATCTGGTCGGCCCCTGCACCGTCCGGGGCTCGAACCCGGGACTCCCGCGTCTCTCTGCAGCGACCTAGCCCCGTGAGCTAAAGAGAGATCTCTCCACAGCCCAGTAGCTGTAGTCCTGCTATCACAGGGAAGGGCGGTGACATCACCTGCTCTGGTACGCTGGCTCTTACACAGTGCCTATCAGCCGTAAGCACTACACTCTCCCCCGCTTAAATCACCGTCCCCAGCGAAGGGCTATCCCACCCCGCTTCTGACACTAATGTAATGCAACGGGGGCTCAGGCGGGCGCCCTTGCCACATCTGGTCGGCCCCATCCCGACTGGAGGCTCGAACCCGGGACTCCCGCGTCTCTCTGCAGCGACCTAGCCCCGTGAGCTAAAGAGAGATCTCTCCACAGCCCAGTAGCTGTAGTCCTGCTATCACAGGGAAGGGCGGTGACATCACCTGCTCTGGTACGCTGGCTCTTACACAGTGCCTATCAGCCGTAAGCACTACACTCTCCCCCGCTTAAATCACCGTCCCCAGCGAAGGGCTATCCCACCCCGCTTCTGACACTAATGTAATGCAACGGGGGCTCAGGCGGGCGCCCTTGCCACATCTGGTCGGCCCCATCCCGACTGGAGGCTCGAACCCGGGACTTCCACGTCTCTCTGCAGCGACCTAGCCCCGTGAGCTGAAGAGAGATCTCTCTACAGCCCAGTAGCTGTGGTCCTGCTATCACAGGGAAGGGCGGTGACATCACCTGCTCTGGTACGCCGGCTCTTACACAGTGCCTGTCGGCCGTAAGCGTTACATCTCTTTTCCCCTGAACAGAGCAGAGTATGAGGAAATTCTCAAAGGCATTGATAAAGCCAAAGCAATGGGCTTCTTCAGGATCAATACTGAAAAATGAGCCAGAAGATGCGAGTGGAAAGGAAAGGAGAAGTGCATGTAAGACCGAGAACAGGAGATACTGACACACAAAGGCTTGTAGGAGTCTGGAAAAAGCCATCCACTTTGTTGATTCTGTGTCTTGAAACCCCTCAAGAAGCAGCTTGATAGGACCTTCAGATCAACTGGGCATCCAGACCGCAGCAGTAACACACTTACAGTGACTGTATAAATGGGTAAGAATGCAAGTCTTTTGAATAAAGTTTCTGAAAAAACAAATTCAGATAGGAGGTAAAAACTACTCGTTCTTAACCTGACGTGTGTCACGGACGTCTAAAGGGACTAACCATGGGGAGCAGGAGAGCGGAAAAAGACCCATATGCGTAGCGGCGGGACGGGAAAAAGGCCCGGGCTCAATAGTGCAAAGAGTTCAGGAATGCCGTATAGAAACCTATGCCCTCAGGGAGCGGACGTGGGGCACCCTGGTGCTAGGCGGATCTCAGGACATCCGAACGTCAATGCTGAGCGAGGACAGAGTGCAAGACCCGGAAATATATAGCCCAAGGGAAAGAGAGGGACCGGAAGGACAGCAGACCGTAAACTAGGGACAGGACAGAGAAGGAGCGCCCTCTGGCTGCAGAGGGTGTGACAACGTGGGTCCCAATATCCAGCGCTGTGCTTAGAACTTGTCTAATTAGAGTGTGAATCCTAAACCCAAGCCTTCCTGGGGTGTCCAGTGAGCATTTCCGTGATCTATATCTGAACTTCTCTGGGTGTAGGATTTTGACATGTTCCCCAAACCAAAATATATGAGTGGGAAACAATCACGACCATTGATCAAAGCTCTTGCAAGTGAATTAGATTCAATGATGCTTGGTTACGGCTTTTGATCTGACCTGCACAGTTTCGGGATACAATTACTGCGCGTTGCACCGCGCCACCAGGCTCCAGAAAAAAATTCACAATAGGGGCATAGAAACACTTGTTCTACACCTGACGCCCCAAAATCCAGCGCTGATCTTAAAAATGGTCTAAGTAGTGTGTGAATGCTAAACCTAATCCTACCTGGGGGGTCAACTGAGCTTTTTCCGCGATCTACAGTAGTTTCCATAAAGCTGAAAAACTGAGTTTTTGTTAAATTCACGATGGAAACGCTGCTTATTGAAAAAACTCATGAGTGGCAGCATAGGCTTCTATGGAGAACCAGGGCTGTGTTCTGGCCATGGAAGGAGTGGCCTATTACCCTGAGCTTGAGCAGACCAGCCAGGGGTGGAGCTTGACGTGACAGGGAACATTGTCCTAGGTAGAGCGAGTGTTTGGTTGAGTGCAAGAAAATCGGCTCTGCTATGGCCTCAGTCATGTATTCCTTTGTGATGAACTGGTAATCAGCTGTTATTCTGCCCTTTTCATGAGCCACCTTTACAGACACATCCAGCCTTCGGTACAGGACAGCTGCTAGAAGGATCTACAGAAGAGCAGAGCTGTGGCTCAGACACCAAGGGAGGCCTTTGCTGAAAACAGACCAGCTCAGATTGTTGGGTATACTGACAAACGCAAAAATCTCAGTTAACTGGGGTGTCTCTCTGAACTTGCTTTTATAAAATAAGCATGACGGCAAATCTTAATTATGCGTCAAGGCATTCAAAGTCCTTTAAATATCCATACCTCTTGGAGAAATATCCATACGCATATGCACTTATAAACCTTAAGTATAATATTTCCCAAAATACACATGACAATATTAACACTATTTACAGTATTCGCCCTTTATTTTATGCTACTAATGCTACTAATACTGTACAACTAAGCCTTAGTCTTCATTGTCTACTTCCCTCTGCGGCCCAGAATTCCACACCTTTGTTAAAATGTTCTGCGTTGATAAATGCCTGTCCATTGTTTTTCTTCAAATGAAAGCTGTTAAACAAACTATAAGTTATAAATTTCATATTGTGATTTGTAAACTCGTTTATTGTATATATTGTGCAATGAATATTGCTTGTAAAGGTTTAAACGCTGTATTGTGGATATTTCTTTCGACAGTATACCTCCTATAGATTTGTGCACAGCTGCAAACACAAATATTGACACTGTGTGTCTAAAAAGGGTTAATTCAAGAGGTGTCTTAATTACAGCTTTCTATTAATCCTGTTTCATGGGTTTATCGAGTAAATAATCAGAAAAAAATACAGGTTTTTAATATTTAGCGGCTACCTTGCATTACAGATGTGAATGCCGATTATCTTAAAATCCACTAGGTGGAGCTAAAAGACAGCACTTTCTTTTTTTCCGGGTACAATACCAGATATTGCTGATTTTGTAACCATATTCTTTTATAAGGAAGGGAAAAAAAAACATTGTAACCAGTAAGAGTAAAAGAAAATGATTTTATAGCACGGTGACATCCATGTAAAATGTCTGCTTAAGTATAAAGCAATACCAAAACCCCTTAATATTCCACATCAGAAAATGCTATTGGAAAAGCTGTAGAACAAGAGCAGTAGTTAATATGTCCACAATACCACCAAATAGTTATCCAGCTCTAGTATCCTCTATGCATATATTTACAACATATGCTGTATTTCATATTTAAGCTTTCACGTGTGACATTTATATATATTTGTTTATTTATTTTTATTTAAGCTATAATATACACAAGGAAGCACAAGAGACCCAGTCCACAAAGGAATAATGTGATGAATGTTCAGGCCAGACAGACACGTTTTAATGGTCAAAGCTCAAGTCCGAGTAGACACGAGCCCATGAAGCAAACTGAGATATCTGGCGCCAGCTTCAGCGGTTTCGATGAGTAAAGCAGAAAGAGCAAAGAGTAATAGATGTGGAAA